CTCAGCCTGTTTGGGAAAGAAGCACATGGGTATGCTCAAAAGGCTGGAAAAGCCTCCCTTGATGTGCCCGATGGCATTGTTGCTCGCATTGATCCCGAGTTGGATGAAATTCGGTACGGAAATGTTGATGCGGGTACAAGTGTAGCAAACATCAATGCCCTAACTGTGCATCTCAGTGATAAGTGGAAAGTTAAGCTGATGGAAGACAATCAGGCCACGATCACTATCCTGCAGCAGGGACACTCACAGAAGCTAAGGCACACGGATAGGACCCAACGCATTAGCTTTAGATGGCTCCAGGAGCAATTCGTGAATAGGCAGTTCGAACTAATCAATGTTGACACTACCCTCCAAGCTGCAGACATCTTGACCAAGGCGTTTGACAGCACCCCAGTGTGGCACCATGCACTTGAGCTGATCGGTATCTCCCCCAGTCGCCAGGCGCGAGCCTGTGCCACCAGTTTGCTGCTCTCCCCATGCGCCAAGGCCGGAGAAGTTAGTGATCAGGGGGGGCAGATCGCTGCGTTATGCAACGTTCAGCCCAAGCGCCTCCTTATTGAATTCTGTTGTTCGACGACCTCACGGTTGGGCGAATCAAGAGACTCTTCAAAAGGTTGCCGTGTCATTCGGGTAACGGAAACCGAAGACGGGTGCTCCGATACGTGCAGGCAGTGGTTAGGCCGGGAAATCGCCGAATTCAGGAGCAAGAATCCTAAGGGCGCAATCATGTTCTACGTCTCGTTGCCATGCACTGGAGGTTGCCCGTGGGGTTATGTCAACCAGCAAACTCCCAAAGGTGCTGCCAAGATTGGGGGCCACATCAAGCAATTCCGATCACTGTTGAGAGGGTTCAAACGCATTCTCAATGATGTTTATTCAAATGACATTAGAGTTGCTTTCGAACTCCCCAAGGCATGTCGTTATTGGAAATGGCCTGAACTATGGAGTTTCTTAATTAAGTACAAGATGAACAAGTATGAATTCCATGGTTGCAAAATCGCCAATGAAAAAGCAATGGGTCGTTGCCAGCAATATGCCCACTATTTCCGTTGTTGAGTACTTCAAATGTGATGGTTCTCACGAGCATGATGAAAGCCGTGGCACCCACTTGAAGGAAGCCGAGGGATACACGTACATTTACACTGATGCCGTTCACAATGCATTTTCCGAACATGCCACCATGCAGCCGTTGCTTTCGAGTGATTGTGCTGCATCGTTTTCGCAATGAGCGGCCCAACGGCTATGGCGCATCCCGCGAGGGATTGCGATCCGGCATGGAGGCGGTGGATGGAGAATGTTGCTACCACATCGGTATGCACGAACGGCAAGTACGACGCTAACCTCGCCGCTACGGTCAAGGGCCTCCTGGAGACGACCTCTGCACAGTCGCTTATTCATACATGGGTGCAGGACCAACCGCATTATTTGCAGTTGCTTACACCCCTGTTAACTATAAGCGAACCTTATTTGAAGGTTGTGCAGGCCCCACGTGTACCAGATCGCGACCTCCTTATCTATTTGACAGTCGCTGACTCAGGACTTTCAATGGTTTCGGGCAAGAAGAAGAAGCTTCGCAAGTAGGACTTTGCAGAACGCTTGGATGCTTCTCGCCCGGCGTGTCGGTGCATGGAGGTCAGAAATGCTTTGGGGCAAGGGCTTACAACAGCTGTGCAAGCGCATGGCCGCCCGTATCGACGAGGTGCGTACGGACTACCCAACAGCGACCATCGTTCCGATGATTTATTGGAACGGCAATGAGCTTGTTGGGAAGGACGGCATTGAGCCCAGCGGCACCTACCCGTTCGACCACCCCGCCGGCGAGGCCAGTCAGTTGCTGGCAGACACCAAGAGGCACCTGGCTTGGACCAGGGATTTCGCGGCCCGCAAGGGCTGCGCATGCCTTGGAGTCATGACCGGCGCGAAAAGCTATCTCTACGGCTTCTCTATGATTTGGGACCGTTACATGACGGAAGTCCGGGATTACATCATCGGCGACCCCAATCATATGTTCGTGTACGTAGATGCTACACCCTTTGTCGAGACCATCGATTTGCTGGACAGGTATCATATGTGCTTCAGTGACGACAACATCACGAAGACCGTCCAGTTCATGCGCGGAACCCATCACATGTTGTATATGCTTTCTATCTTGCGCCCCGCAATGGGCAGCGTAGCCGAGCTGACACGTTCGCACGACTGTACCGTGCGTCCGATCGATGTGCTCGAGGTGCGCCACCAAGAAGATTGCACAGTCAACGTTGAGGTTCTCGCGTACTGCAAGGAGACGCTAACGAAGTGCGGTGTTTCTTTGTCAGAGATGATCGGGCTCCCTTTCACCCGTGAAGAAGTGGAAGTCCGGCAGCCTCTCGATTTCGCCCCCGTCAACCCAGCCGAGTTTGCAACTTCAGGTGAGCCTTCCGGTGCAGATGTTTCCGAAAGTGTTCGCCCGGCGCAAGCCGGTGCAAAGGCGGCTGCGGTGGCAAAGAGGGACGAGGCGGCGAGCAGGCCGGTACCACTCGACTCCTACGGGAGGAGCGTGACTGGGGGCCACTATGACTGCTGGGTGTATAGCATTCATGATGGCGTGAAGTATGTCGACTACGGTGAGGGCCCCAAGAGACTCGACATCATCAAGCAGCCCTCTTTCGATTACGACCCTTCCGTCAGGAGAATCAGTGACGAATACCACCGTTCCCTGACGTGCATCTCCAAGATCCTCCGTGGTCGTGGAACAGAAGGATGCGGGTATGTGATGGATGAGGACGGCTACATGGACCTCGAAGACCTGGGACTCGCGCTTTGCAAGGAGCTGCGACATCCCATTCCATGGAATATTCAGAATATCATGGATATCTTCAAGCTGGACAAGAAGCAGAGATTCATTGGCCTTGGTTGCCCGGACGCAAGCCGGTGCGGAGACGTCCCATGTTCTCATTGGCTGTTCAAGCTGAAGGCCTCTCAAGGCCACGAGGACTGGCTCCAGATCGACGACTCCGGCATCGCGAAGGAGTGGTACGTGAACCCGGGGACTGACCTCGGGCGCTGGTCTGGCTGGAACCCTCCAACTGTGCTTTATCGCCGCACTGATAAGCGAAATTTCGCTAACATCATGCGGAACGGTCTGCTGCCAGGAGGAGGGGACCAGCACGAGACAGGACGACCTCACGTTTTCTTCGCTGACGTCCCCAGCACGAATGAAAATTACATCTCAGGTGTACGTGCGAACAAACCCCTGGAGATACAGATCGACCTCAGAATGGCCATTCGCGCAGGGCTTTGCTTTTTCAAGACGGAGAGCGACGGCGTCCTTACGCGCGACAAGGTGCCCAACTACACGATTATTTCTGTATTGGACGCTACAAATGGCGATGTATGGTACACTCGCTCCGAGCAATCGGATGCAGGTGCACCAGCTGAGGCGACTGAGGATGAACCCCAGGGAATGAGGCGCGACCAAGCCGTGGTTGATGATCGTTCAACAGCGCTGGAACGTATTGCTACAACGCGCACAAATGTGGCCTCTCCTCGCGCCCCGCAAGGGGAAGCGAAGAGACAGAAGACTTTCAACCCAATGGAGAACGTTGAGCTGAACGTCGCCACGTGCCCGGTTTGCAACAACAGTGTATTCGAGGGGCAGGTGCACTGCTCATCATGTGGGCAGTTGTCTCCCCTCAATCCACGCCTGTTGAAAGAGCAACAGAAGAATTACATCGTGCAGCGTTCCAATCGGAACATTTGACCTCCGCGAGGAGGATCGTAGCAGCATCATTCGTGGCTTGAACTCCCCGGACAGTGCTGTCATTCAGGAGGCACGGAAGAAGCTCAAGTCCGCCCTGAAGAACGGCTACCACTCTCTGCTTGACCGCTATGAACTCGACCTTCAACACAGGGTTCGTATGCTTGAGGTGGGCCGTCGGGAGGCGGACATGCTCCGCATGGAGTTGAGCGCAAATCTCGTCTTGGCTGCTCCAAAGCAGTCGCAAGCCCAGCGCACTCTGGGAGTTGGCCTTGGATCAACTTCGGAGTCGCGAATCGCAAGGCTCGCGTATATCAAGACAGAGTTGGAGTTCCTGCCCAACGAACTTCAAGATGCGCTTTCCTCTCGCTGGATCAAAATGTTCCAAGGGATGCCAAATAGCCCGAGACCTTGCATCAACGTGGAGAGCAAGACAAGCCTCGCAGCATCGGTTGTTGGAATGGCATCATCCATCTGCGAAGCAACACGTTGGACGACCTCCGCAACGAGATGGACTGGATTTTCAGCCAGAATGAGCGGTATGCACGTAACTCGATTGAATTTTCGAGGAACGAGAGCAGCAAACACCTTGCTCGCAATGCCGCTCGCTATGCCGAGACAAGTGCTCCCGCCGCCCGCGAGGGTGAGCATTGGAGCCAAGGCAGCTGGCAGAATTGGTCCGGATGGAGCGGATGGGGCAACAGTAGCGGTAACTATTCAACTTGGCAGTGGCGCTGAAAGCGCAACTGTCATGGTTTGCACGTAACAATGGTTCCCCTGACCTTCTCCCTCTGTTGTGTTACTGTTTGGCTGCTTTGCGAAAGGCCCCTTTAACACGCAGAGGGGGGTGAAGAATTTGATCGGTCAGTATGGGGTTTTACATCCATTGCATCCGCAGTGTGGCTGTTCAAGCGTGAAAATGTGCGAGCAGCGCACTTGGACGGTTTGTTGTTTCCTTTTGGGCCCCAAACCGGTAACCCTTGAATCTATACTTTCTACTTGCTTCCTTGCTTGTGTGTTTGTTTGCTTGTTTGTTTGTCTTTTTGTTTTAGTGGCACACCTGCTGTTGGTTGATTTCAAAGCGAAACCAAATGCCAACCACTTTGGGGCGCCCATCATTTTGGGACAAGCCCGCCTGGAGTAGGATCATGGAATGGAGACTCCAAGTAGAGTTTTGGACCCCTGAAAGTCTTGGTTGACAGCCCCTTTTGCAACCAAAGCCTTGACCACCCCGCCGTGGAGCCAGTTTCTTGATCGATTGCAGGCCTGGTGAGAAATCCGCGGCAAGGAAGATGTGACCAGGGCATGCTTTTGCAGAACTGCGCGGGGGCGGGGGGGTTGTTGGGGTACACTCAGTGCACTCTGTACAAATTGTAGCGAGCTCGCATGGGGGAACGCATGCTGACCCACGAGGAAGGTTTGTGAGGAAGACTAAACCTCCAAAAGTGGATTTGCGATTTTGAGCTGACACTTAAGCTCGGCCTTGCTTGAACTAACCTCAGTGGGTTTATCAATTGGAGTTAACCTGCCAACCACAAAGTGACAGGCTGACATCTTGTGCGGACGCCAAACACAAGGGGGTTCCATCGGGCTGTATTCTCAAGTTGTGAGGCTCAGGTGACATGCCTGAAGCTTCCAGGATGCCTGAGTCTTTTTGGATGTTTGCTTGTGAGAAGGCTGTGGGTCAAGCATTTGCACCCAAAACGGAACCCTGGGAAATGGAAACATGGACTAACTAAACGGTTGACCGGGGGTTGCTATCACCTGTATGGGTATGCGTCAAATTAGGGTGATCAAAACAGTGATTGATCATTTAAGGTTTCTTCTTACACCAAGGTGAAAGGGTTACCTCCAAAACACATCATATGGCTTCGTTTTATCTTTGGAGACCCCGTGAAATGATGGTGTCCCTTTGCTTTCCCGAGAAAAACAAAAAAGGATGAGGAAAAAAAATAAACAGCCCAAATAAGGCGACCAACCCCAAAGAAACACACACAGACCACAGCGACACACGGGCGAACTCCTGAAGCACAAAGAGACTCAGATGCCCAAAACGTCCACCTCGCACACGCCGGCACATGGCGATGGTTCGGTTTTTCCCTTTGCTTTCCCAGGGCTCCTTGAAAGATCTCCATGTTGCCACCAGTTGCTACATGGCGTTGTTTTTCTCACACCAAAATAAAGTTGGAAACAAACATGGCTGTTTTTTCGCACACCGAAAATAAAGTTGGACACCACCATTTACAAGTTGCAGGTGTATAGGTGTATGATGTAAGGATCCCTGCATTGCCTTCACTTTAACAGCCCAAAAAAGGCGACCAACTCCAAACAAACACAGACACATGGCTAGCCCATGGGCAGATCCCCTGACTCGCATCTGAGTTGACTCACTCAAACTTTGGGTGACTTTTCTGGCAGGCAAGAAGCTTCGGAGCTGGCAAGGAGCGGCGGAATGGAGCGGGACCGTTTTTGTGTTTGGCATGGGTGTTTTTTTTGGGGGGTGTACCCCTTTTGTACCCCAAATTGTTGTTTTGTTTTTGAATGCTTCTTTTTTGGGGTACACCCCTTTTTGTTTGTATGGGTCTGTCTGTTTCTTTTTTGGGTGTACCCCATGTTTTGGTGTTCAAGGGGGACAGCAACAGGAAAGTCTCCCTACAAAATCCCATATAACTATATATATATATATATATATATACATCATATAACATTATTCCCCTCGACCGTTTTCAAGATACTTCTTGGCCCAATGGCCAGGGTTGGGCCTTGCGCCTTGGGGAGGCAATCAATTGAAATCGGGGCCTTCTCGTGTTTTGTCTTTTTTGAGGGTACCCTTTGTGGGATTGGTTTGAAATCTCGCGGGGCTGACAGCGAGCCATGCCTTATTTCACCGCGGAGCCGAAAGTCACTGGGTTTTGGTCGTTGCTCATGCATGTGTTGTTCATATATTTAAGCTGGACTGTCCCCCTTGTTGTGGTTTTCCAACGGAGATTGTGCAGATTGGATCAATGCCCAGCTAAACAGGGGGGTTGTAGGTCGGACACTTTCGTCCGCGGGTCATTCCTTGAAAACTCGCCGAATTCACTGTTTGATCGTCAAAACGAACTCCGAGAACAAAAAAGAGAGAAACAAGAAACAAACAAAAACAACAATCCGGTTTGGACACATTCGTAAACTCATCGAGGCAAATACATACGTTCTGTCAGGGTATGTGCCCCCAATATGTCACTAGGGAGCCCCTGATAAATATGTGGGTGTGGGTGGGCGATTCGTCAGAATCAGGGGTGAACATGAGCTAATGCTGTTGCAGTTTAAGCAGATCAAATATTGATGCGGCCACTTCACTGATGCATATTCAATTTACAGCCGCATAGTTGGAGGGTCTTTTCAGCTACCCTGTGTTTGCTATGTCCATCATGTTGCGGTCAAGGTTCAAGAAAACATGATTGTACATATAGTCGCCATGAGTCAGACAAGTTAAACAAACAAAGAAAAGGTTCCTGTCAAAGGAACCATGACAGTTTTACATGTAAGGAGTTTGATCATGGCACGTCTTGTATTGTTTGGGCACGTACGTTGGCACGTACTTCTTTCCCTCGAGGGGCCCCGCAAGTCGCACTATCCTGTCACTGATGTAGCAAACCTTCACAGCAAGCTGCGGCAACAAAAGTCGCACCACCTGCATGTACAGCTGTTTGACACTGGGAACACCCCTAAACCATTGCCCCAATCCAAAAGCGTGCCGCACTTCAGGACTTGTCAGCACTGAGGTTTAGGTGTAGGGTCTCCAGGGTTTAGGTTTCGGGTTTGAGGTTTTTAGGGTTTAAGTCTAGGTTTAAGATGTTTACGGTTTAAGGTTTTAGGGCCTAGGTTTAGGGTTCAGGTTTAGGTTTACGGTTTAGGAGCCAGGTTTTTATGGTTTTTAGGGTTTAGGTTTAGTTTTTTTGGATTTAGGCCTAGGTTTTTAGGATCTAGAGGGTTTTTAGGGTTTAGAACTGTGGCTGTTCAGGCTTTAGGCTCAGGTTCTTAGAGTTGAGGAAGCCGGGATCTTGGTCGAAGCTCAATCGCCCCTCCAATGCGCACCTCGGATTGAAACATTGCAACGCGTGCAATTCAACCGCGGACTGGGCAATTCCTTAGGACAGTCGGAGCTGCCTCCGAAGCCCCAAACTGGCCCTGTGCCAGTACTTTGCAGCCGTCGCGGGCGGCACCCCCCCCCCCACGTGAAGGATGTCCAGGGTCCTGAAGAATTGCTTACCTGAAACCAGCTTCTTTTTCGTTCATGCCGATTCGTTTCTCAATCTGGGCTTCAGTGAGCCGGTTGTCAGATTCCCAGCCATGCGGAAATTCTGCATACCACCGTGAGTTTAGTTGAGACTTGGATGAGCTGGGGAGAAAGCACCAGCGCCCAAGCGGACTCGTGCTTTCTTGCACACCTTTGCAGGACACCCGAAAAGATGGCGACCAGCAAGCCGCGCTTCCTGCATGTTTCGGTGCGACTGAAAGAATCATGGCACTGGATCTTTCGAGGCAGAAAAGCAGCACTTGTAATGTGAGCACATAATTTGTGAGCTGATCAGCCTGCGCATTGTGACAGATGCACACATGCAGTTAGTGGCAAACACCCGGCCAAGACGTGTCACCGAGTCAAGGGCAGGGAGAACGTCTTCTAGGTCCCCCAGTAGTGCCCTTTTACCCGTTTTTTGGGGAGGGTTCCCCTATTAAAATAGACTACAGAAAGAAAAAAAAGTTGGTACCCTTATTCTAACCTCTCTACTGGATAACCTAGTCTTGGTTTTTCTCAGCTGCCTTGGCAGGTCCAGTCCTTCGAGGAGCATCTTTCCCCCAGAGAGCTGCATTGATCAGATGCCTCGCGAAGTTTTTGCGATGCCCTGGCTCCCATGTTGCATATGACGGGGAGGCGCACTGGGAAGTTTTAGTTGACACTTTCGATGGAACAGGGACTTGGGGCGTGGGTGAGCTTGTTTGCATTTAAAATCGTCGTTGACTTTTGCCGCCAAGCGCCAACGCATCGCCCCACCCCACCCCACGTCACCGAACCATACCGAACCCACCCCACCCCACCCCACCCCACCCCACCCCACCCCACCCCACCCCACCCCACCCCACCCACAACCACAACCACCGACCACCCGCTATTTTGCGCGCCTGTCCTGATGCTTTCTTGCAAACCATTGCCACGCGAAAAGCCACCCAGCCATCCGGTCCACAGTTTCCGTCAGGAGTCTGCACAGGGACCAGACGTCCCAGACAGACCTCAGAAAGGAGAACCAGATGTCCCAGACGTATCTTGGTTGTTCCCGGACATCTTTTGTGTCTTCAGGCATGGCAGAGTTTGGTCCATTGGTGAGATGCATGACGCATCCCACAAGTTGAGCATTCAACAAGAAATCAACCAACGGCAAAGGTATTTGAAGCAAGAGAACCAGATGTCCCAGACGGATCTGCAGAAGAAGGAGGACCAAATGTCCCAGACGACAAGGCAGGGGCCATTCTTGGATGCTTGCTCGCTGCCAAGCTCTGCGCTTTTTGGACGGACCAAGTGTTGATCCTGGGAGCATGTTCAGTGAAACCAGAAACAGGTTCCAGAGCCCCCGCTCTTGCATTCCAGAGCCCTTTTTTTCCGCGCAGTTTTGGTTGATCATGTTCCTAACCGGCTTGCTCCGACTCGGGACGAAAGCTGGCAATCGGGAGTTTCTGAGTTTCTGGCGTCAAGATGTCTGGAGATAGATTCTATATTTTGAGGGTTCTTTTCTTTTGTGTTTGAATTCAACCAAAAGGAAAGCCACATTCTTGAGGGACCAAAACAAAAGACACACCCATATCCTTCCTTTCTCAACAGCAACAGCCGTGGGGTCAATGTGGAAGAGGTTCAGGGTGGCTCCACTATCATGACATCCCCCGTCGATTTCGGAAAATGTCCCAAGGGACCTCCGAACAGGTATCTCAAAGTGGTGAGCCCCTTTTTGCTTGATTATTTGGGAAACCAACATGCAACCAGCCATTTCAGTGGCGAACCCCTTTTCGCTTGGTTATTCTTGGGGAGACCAACATGAAACCATTTGCAGAACTCCGTGAACCAATAGCACCCTGAACTCGCATTCTTGGGACACGCCTGAGAGTATGTCTTCGACCATTCTAGGGGCCCCCCACATGTTCCGAGTCACCCATCTGGGTGAATTATAACGACCTCACACGACCTCACCCCAAATGGTTTATGTGGGGAATAGCCCCCCAACCACCTTATTTCAGGTTGGTGAATTCTTATTCACCCAATTCACCCTGGGACCCATGGAAACCCGTTCCGGGCAGATCAACTCGTCCCGCTCCGATGCCGCTGGCTCAGACAAAGGCGCTGAGACCGATAAGCAGCGGAACCTTTAGGTACCCTCCCAAATCTAGGTCCCCCAGCAATTGGTGCCCTTTCTGACCCCTTTTTTGGTCGGGAGGGTTCTCCTACTAAAGTAGACTCCGGGAAAAAAAGGTACCCTTATTCTAGCCTCTCTACTGGAGGACCTAGAAATTGCACGGAACCCGACAGGGGGTCCCTTTAAAAGGAACATGGTCTTCCAGGAGCCCCCCGGCAGGATCCATGCTAATTGGTGGGAGGGTAATTTCTGCTTAAAACTCACCCAAAAAAGGGGTTCCCCCCACAAAAAGAGACACCCATATCCAGATTCGTCCATGGGACATGGAGACGAGCTTTAAATTTCAACCACAAACACCAGGATGAATCTCATTGTCCCATATCGGCACATTTGGACAGTGGCCCACCTCCTTAACTTTTGTTTTTTGTCTTCGATAATGGGCTGTTGCGTTGGATCCTTCCAAATTGCTTTGCCATTTGCTTGGGTCTTCTTCAACTTGTCGGGAAGATGTGTGCTTTGATCATCTAATCAACCACATGTGAACCACTTTCTGCCGGGGCCGCCAAGCTTTGGTTCACGAGATCGGGGCCCGGAAACAGGCGAAGGCTCCTAACTCGCGGAGTCCGGAAAGTCTCAGCGTGGGAGTTCCTGCGGGATCCTTGCTGTGGTGTCCTATCGGTTTTCGGAAGTTGGAGGTCCTGAACCCTGGGAATTGGCCGCAAGGCACGGCCGAAATGGGTCAGAGCTTTGGTTTCCCTTTCATCAGGTCCAAACGAAACGAGAAATGAGGCACATGCTGAAGCCAGAAATTCCTGCGATCTCATTTCTCATAGAGCGCTACCTGGCTATTTGTCATCAAAGGAGCTCGAGACGCCATGTGGAAACTTGGGCTGAGCTTTGGTGCCAACTCCCCAAAGATACATTTCGCCCAATTGAAACATGGCTTTTTCTACCCAAATAAAGGGAAACCACCATTTACAAGGCAATGTTCAGGTGTATAATGTAAGGATCTCTGTATTTAGGGCCACTGATCCATGCTGGTATCACAAGGCTTATTCTTCCACAACCACGTTTCACAGCTTTTCAGTTCTGAGAAGCCCCCCCCCCCCCCCCAGCCTTTTGAGCATACCCCAAGCTTTTGGTGCGAGGATTCCGGTCCCTCGGATTCCGGTCCAAGGCAGGCGGACGGCCACGGAAATCATGACAGCCCCAGAAGGCGCTCGGCGATGGGATTCAACGGAGAGAGGCTGACCAAGGTTTCAGTGGCTCTAGGGGTAACTTCCATTTCCATTCTTTCCAGGGATCCGGATCCTTTCCAGAAAGCCACCAAAAACCCTGGGGAAATGGATCTGGTTTTTGAAAAGAACGGCTGAAAAGAATGGGCAAGCAATCAACCCCTAGAGTGGCGACCTCCCAGTCCCTTTTTGTTTGAAAACATGTCACGCCCCCCGCTTCCCCCCCCCCCCCATTTCCGACAAGGGGAAAGTTCCCGTTTTCAAGCAGGGTCACTAGGTCACTGTGCAGCTGGGTCAATGCGAGTCGGGCGTTGTTGGAGGCGTTCATTCGTTTGGGGCCAATCAAATCCTTGGTAGATGAGGGTTGGTAGGGGCTAGTCCCAGCCAGAAATATGTTGGTTTGCACCGTTGACTCGTTGCATGTGCAGCGTTTTCAGACTCCAGCAAAGCAAGGCATGTTTTGTGGGGGGCATATCGCTGCAATATGTTTTTTGCTCTTGGCCACAAACGGCTTTGTCATGCTTCGTCCGTTGTCCACTTACGAAAGGTTGGTTCAAGTGTTTGCATTCCTTCCATTCAAATGTCCGCAGAAACGATCAATTTCATATCGCCATGTTCCTATCCCCCCCCCCCCAAAAAAAAAACAGCGTCGCGCGTGCCGTGAGCGGTTCTAGTGAAACGACTCGCGACGGCAATAACCGGTGGATGTCCCACGAGTGGTGGATACAAGATTAATGGTGGTGTACACTTGGCCTGAGTGTTATCCTAGGGGTTGATTCCTTGTCCATTCTTTTCAGCCATCGTTCTTTTCAAAAACCAGATCCATTTCCCCCCGGGTTTTTGGTGGTTTTCTAGAAAGGATCCGGATCCCTGGGTTCAGAATGGAAATGGAAGTTACCCCTGGAGTTACTTTGATTGTTTCTGGGGAGGGTTCCCTTTCACCTGCCACTTAGGACTCAGGGGGGAAAGCTCGATTTGTGCGGGCCAGTGTACTGCGGCGCATTGCGGCACAGTAGTTTAGAGCGCTCAAATTGTGGGAAGGAGCGTCCCTTCCTGTGCTTTGTGGGCAAAATTGAGATGTATGATGTTCTCTGGTTTTCGGCATGGTTTTGTTTGGGGCACATACCATAAACTCTCACCGCACATATACCTGGACCTTCCAACATGTAAAATTAACGCCGTTTCCCAAAACAGCAATAATTTTTGCCGGTTGCTGAAAAAAACGCTCTTTCGGAGAAAAAGCGCTCGCCGTGAGTCCAGCTCGGAACCAGGCAAAAAAAACGCCGTTTCGCCGGCAAATTACGCCGTTTTGACGGCAAATTACGCCGTTTTGCAATTTTGATTGATGCTAGAGTGTGCAAACACTGAAAACTGCCGGCAGGCGAAAATAATCGCCGTTGGGTCAAAAAACATAGTTTTTGACAAAACAGCAATAATTTTGCACATGTTGGAAGACCCAGGTATAAGATAAGAGACTTATGTGTGTCTTACCCAGCCCAAAGCGAATCGATCTGTTGACCTTCTGCCCATGTTCCAGTTTCAGTCATGGCCCTCAAAGGTTAACTTTGCATTCCCAGGTCCTTTGCCTGCAACTGAGTTTATGGTGAGTGCTGGAAACGCGCGCTCCAGGTGCTACCTTGGATCGTAACTTCCACACTCAAGGCATTCATATGCGTGGTGCGTTTTTTTGTAGGACCCCCCCCAAAAAGAAAAACAAAAACGAACAAACAAAAGAAGGACAAACAGCAACAACATAAAATGGTGGTTTTCCTTTTGGCTTCCTTTGAACACCAACCAAAAGAGCGTTCCCCACGAAAAAGGACAGATCCATATTGCCCCAGAGCTTCGGTGTGGTTTCTCTGGGCGGGGGGCTTCATTTTGTGGCTCGTGCGAGAGCGGTTCGCCAGGACTGCAGATGCCAAGGGAAGGCGGGCTGAGTGCACTTGACTGATTTGGGGCGCCCTGAGCAAGTTAAACTGGGCCCTTGTGCAAAGTTGCTTTTGGGGCGGGGGGTTGGTTTAAGCCAACATTTGGAGGGTAATCTGGAGGATATCACTTTTTGCAATGCTGGATTTTCAGACACGGGGCCCCATCATCGGCTTCAAAATCCCAACATGGGGCATGTGTCCTACCATGGACACAACAGTGCGACCAACCATGATTCCCAGAAAGAGGCTAGTTCGCCTCAACGGACCAGACAACTCTTTTAGAACAGCTTTATTGGAAGATCTGTCCAAAGAGCGACTATCCGACCTGTGCCACGTCCGACAGGGAGAATGGAGAATCAACTGTTTGCATTTATGCCTGGCGATCGGAATCGGGCAGGGATTGGAGTTGCGGGAGCAGAGGGACAATCTGCTTGATGTCTTCTTGGCTTCAGGTGGATATGGAGGTGTTCTGACATTGGACATGGACCTTCTTTTCTCAATGGCCTGCAAAAAGGCCACACACAAGTAATTCACATCAGTGTGTTTGGCTTGTTCTGAGTACGTCCCTACATTTCGATCCATTTGATGGCCGCAGCTCAGTCCTTCTTTTCATTCACGTATACGTATTCCCTACTGAGGGCAAGCCAAACATGGCTGGTTCGAAAGGTGCAATCCGAGCCCTTTGATCATACCCCTTCGAAACTACTATGAGACTTTGGGGGGCCTTTGGTGAACCAAGTTGAGCCGCTCTTTGCTGGAGACAAGGAATGATTGCAGGTTCAAGGGTATGTTCAGGTATGGGTGTTGAAGGCATGGATGCTTACTACTAATACAAACTTGTACGGCAGTTTTACGCCTTGTATATAAGTGGTATATAACTTCCATACCTCCAAAACCGATGCCTCAAAATGCCCTTCGACTTGGAAGCATGTTGGAGCATGTCTCTGAATTCTTTGGGGTGACCGATGTCTTTCTTTTCTCCAGGGCGCTCGTTTGGGGGTGATCTATCGGGGATGGCTGCAGAGGGCACGCGAGGATCATGACTTGGCCGCCCAAAAGGGCGAGGCGCTGCATGTTGTTTAGGGAGCCCCCGCAAGAAGACCAGAAGACCATGCCCCGAGCCTTTCAAAGACCGAACCACAAGAGACTTGGCTTCGTTTCCTTTCGGAATCCCTCCGACCAAATTTTTGCCCCGAGGTCTTAGCCCCAAAGCGTTTCCGCCCGCTCCAAACCACGACTCCAAAGCACCTATTGGGGGAGAGGTGACAAGGCGCAAAAGCTGGAAGCCCCTTTCCAAGTTTACGTGGACACACTTAGGTTGGGAATTGGATTGGGGTCTCAAAACAGCACATTCCCCAAAGTGGCAACTTGGTTTCCTCTTTCCCAGCAAAAAAACAAAAACAAAGGTTGACTCAAAATAGGGCAATCCCAACAATTGGTGGTTTCCTGTTGGTTTCCCTTCGAACCAACCCGAAAAGGGGTCCCTCCCCACAAAAAAAACAAGACACCATCAATGCTTCCATTGGGGCTTAGTTCGACCATGCTGCGGGACCTGAGGCCGGGCTCCCCCGCCTCACCGAAGTCGGCTACGGGCTCAGAGCCCGAATACAGGCTTACGCAATTCTTCCATTTGCTGAACAGAATGCTGGGGTACACTGAGGATACATTTTACAGTTTACCAGTGACTCAAAGTGAAGCAAACAATAAAATATACATTCTATAACTGGGCCTAACTCTAATCATGAATAGTTTTGTTTTGTTACTTTCCCCTGTTGGTTTTGAAGGGAATGTTTCACTACTGCAAAGATTTGGTTTTGTTATTTTTTCCAGGGGTCTTAAGCAAATGGAAGCCATGCATCATGAAACCCACCCCAACTTGCTGGTGCTCAGCATCATTGCACGAGGGAATGAACCCACAGGTCCCCTTCAAGGAACAAATACCAGTTGAATGGTTTGTACGGGTCGGTTTTGCCTCAATTTTTCTACTGAGCACCAGCAAGTAAAGGTTGCCCTCCAAACCAACCCTGAGCTGCCTTAACTTACCGCAAAGTGAGGCTCCGACAGAAACTCTCACAAACCCGCAAATACTCTAGCCCCATCTCAGATCACCCCAAAGCCAGCTCAATCCATGACATATTGGTTGAAGCAATCTTGACACCACCTTACACCCGCTCGACACCCACTCCACACGACCTCTAGTCTTGGTGTCCTTGGTGTTGCTGAGCCTTTATGCCTGATTTTGACAGGTGTCCTTAGCATTCTTGCTCAGCACCCCTTTTGCCCTGCTTATTCTGGCTGCTTTGCTCTTTGCTCTTCTTTGTCCTGTTCTCTCTCCACTTCTGCTTTGCTGTGGCGCTTGTCCCTGTCCTTTTAGGTCAGTTTGGTTGAAAACAGATCGCACTGGCTTCAGCTTAGTTCAAGAGATAGTGCCATCTATTTAGTCCAAAAATCCACTCGGACTCTCTGGTCCCCGCGTTTCTCCCCCCCTTCGCCCCTTGTCTTAATTGTATTTTCGCTCTCGGGTGCCAGCCGTAGGTGGTTCCCCCCTCTCAATACGCCTTGGGATTCCTTTGCTTCGTGCCTTCGCGAGAATCCGAAGTGACCATTTCCACAGGTCCCTTCGCCCAAAAATACAAGCAAGCTCCTGTCCCAATGACTCAGAAGGATGGGAAGCGATGTCACTTGGGTACTGGTTGATGCCAGTAGGATGTTGGGCATTTTGGTCGTTGGGTCTTTGTGTTGTTGCCAATGTGTGTGTGTGTGTGGGTGTGTGTGTGGGTGTGTGTGGTTGGGTGGGTGGTTGGGTGGGTGGTTGGGTGGGTGGGTGGGTGGGGTGGGGTGGGGTGGGGTGGGGTGGGGTGGGGTGGGGTGGGGTGGGGTGGGGTGGGGTGGGGTGGGGTGGGGTGGGGTGGGGTGGGGTGGGGTGGGGTGGGGTGGGGTGGGGTGGGGTGGGGTGGGGTGGGGTGGGGTGGGTGTGGGTGGTGGGTGTGGGGTGGCGTGGGGGTGGGTGGGTGGGTGGGTGGGTGGGTGGGTGGGTGGGTGGGTGGTGGTGTGGTGGGGTGGGTGGGGTGGTGGGTGGGTGGGTGGGTGGGTGGGTGGGTGGGTGGGTGGGTGGGTGGGTGGGTGGGTGGGTGGGTGGGTGGGTGGGTGGGTGGGTGGGTGGGTGGGTGGGTGGGTGGGTGGGTGTGTGTTTGTGTTTGTGTTTGTGTGTTGGTGTGTTTGTGTGTTTGTGTGTTTGTGTGTTTGTGTGTTTGTTTTTTTTGTGTGTTTGTGTGTGTGTGTGCGTGTCTCCGTGTCTCCGTGTCTCCGTGTCTCCGTGTTTGTGTTTATGTGTTGTTGTGGGTAAGATTATCCTGCGCTTGTTGGCTCTTTTGCGACAAAGGAGGTCCCACACAAGCTATGTTAGGTTGTGCAAAGTTTATCTTTGCCGCGTGCTTGTCGATGATGTGCTTTCCTTGCACGTGGCACAGTCATTGCTTCTTGGAGACCAGAGAATTAAGTGGGGGGATCCCGATTAGAAAAAAACAGAGGCCTAACGCGCATTTGGGGGCCGTTGAACATGCATGAACAAGTAATGTAACGCATGCCCGTGCAGGTGCTACTGGGAAAGCAATGACACGCCCTGATTCGAACCCGGGAGGGTTGTAAATAGCAGGGCTTGGCAACAGCTTTGCCTAATTTCATTTGTCACGTTGGAGCGTTAGCGCCCCCACGGTTCTTGATACTACATTCTTGACTATCCATCAGGCTTATTACGGCTTATTAGGCCTTATGAGGCCTCATTATTCTGAGGTGGCCCCCCAAAATTTCAAAAGCGCTGTGATTGCCAAGGAATGTGGGGAGCCCCCCCTGTGTTCTGTTTTTCAGACCATTGATCTCCCGCAACATTTGGCTCAAGGGCCCCTTTTGCATACTCACGACCATCCGAGCGTGAAGACAAAAGAGCCATTGCAGGCCGCTTACAGGATTATCCACAAGACAATCCACCAGGGACAATCCATCCTCCAATCATCCATTACTGGCATATTGGACTCTCTCCGGAATAGATTCAGGGACCAACAACGACCTCAACTACCACAGGGTTCCAGTTCCCTCCGGGGATAGGCACCTGGGGCAGTGGGGGAGAGGCTAACGATTGACACATGATAAGTGAGTTTTGCGAAGAGATTGCCTTCTGACAGAAGCAAAGAGGAGGATTGCGAAAGAGCGCCGGGTGAATTCCGGGCTCCTTGTTTCTGAACAACCCCGCTTTGGGCAAATCACACCTGAGCTCATGTTCTCTTTTCAAATTCTTTTTCAGACGTTTCATGGGGGCTGGGGGGGAGGGAGGGGAGGGGGGAGGGAGCCCAAATAAGCCCTAAATAAGGCCTTAATAAGTAGTCGAGGGCCACGCCTAGCAATAAATTGCTTCATAAGTCTAGCCCCCACCCTACAACTTTTTCCATCTTCCATCTTCCACCCTTATTCGTTTTCATCATTTTCTACATTCCTTTCTGTCCATCTCATCCGTTTTTTTCTCATCATTTTTCCATTTTTTTCGCCATGTTTTTCTCCTTTCTCCTCGCCTCATTCATTTCACCAACTACCCTTCAAAATATCATTTCCTCAATCTCCTCACCTCATCCAAATCATAAAAATAAATTTTGCAAAATATATTGCAAAAAATGTTTGTCATCAAACAAAAATCGAACTGTCTAAAAACGATTTGTCCATTTCTCGGACAAAGACTAGAACAGCAACAACATCACTCTCCTCCTTCGTTTCATCAGTTTCATCATATATTTTAATAGGCGTGGTGCTCCTTGTAGGATTTACGGGTGGTTTCTGGGGTTTCTGGGGCAACCGTCGCACCGGCGCCGCGCTTGGTCTTCTCCATCGCCTTCAACATAAAGAAGGTGCGCTCGGTGCGGTGGGAGTGGAAGTGGGTTGCTAATTTGACTTTGGAGAGCATTTCATTTATAGGTTAGACATTAGTTTTTCTTCAACATCTAAAATGGTGGCATCAAAAACCATGAAAAGACGAAATGGGCGAGACAGTTGTCAGACGTCAGCTTTTCGACATTAGATTAGAACTTGAAAACATCGTGCAGGGTTTCCTTAGCATTTTGTTCGCTCAAGTCTTTCTGTCAGCCTGTGTTTGCCATTAGCGGTATGGCGCTGGTCTTCGTGAAGACCAATGAAGATGGAGATGATGTGAAGCGGTTGGTTATTCGCTCTGGCAGTGTGCTGTCAGCAAACCATCTGGCTACAGGACAGCCTTCGACAAAGGATGAGATGCGAGATGTGCTGAATGGAATGAAGAAGGATGTGCTCATCTCTACTCTTTCTTCCTTGGGGTTGCGCTTCAATCGGAAGAGCATGACAAACTCTGCCATGGTGAATTTGATTGTTGAAAAGGAATACACCAAGATTGAGCGAGAAGCCAAGAAATCTTCTGCGGCACCATCATCCGTTGAGACCAAGCCAGCGGAGGAGACCAAGCCAGTGGAGGAGGAGGAAATCCCTACTACTGGAGAGCGCAATTTGATGACCTACCTTGCCAAGGGCTGCAAGGATGTCAAGGGCTTCCACTGTGGCTACTATGAGGGCGGTGCATTTCACATCTTCACGCCTTAAGGAATGTATAGTCCAGATGTTGATGACCGCGACGGCGTTGAGTTCATCCGCAACCACAACTGCCTGATTTTGTCCAAGGAAGACCTGAAGGAGTTGATGGACGATGGAGATGAGGTCAGCGAAGAGGCAAAGATGGCATCCAACCGTCCAGTGGATGGCATAGCCGCTTTCAAAGGATACGGTGAGGGGCTCACTTTCACAAGGGAGGAGGAGGCAGAGAGCGAGGAGGTGGAGAGTGAGGAGGTGGAGAGCGGGGGAGGGGAGAGCGAGGGCACCACGCGATATATACAAAATTAAGGCTAATGAGTTATCAGAAATTCCGACTTACAAAAATGTAAAAATTCATGTCAAAGACGAATACGACACCAAAAGCATCTGTGAGCAAATTGTGGCGTGTCATCCGGCTTTGATAAGAGCAAGACTGGCTGGAAGTGGCAAGACTTATATAGGTGAATATATGAAAAAATTAGGTTATAATGTGTTATTCGTATGTCCTAACAACAAGCAGAAGCAAGAAACCGAAGCCGACGCCATAACATTAAACAATTTTTTTAGTATCCCAATAGAAGCTGGAGAAAGACTACCGACACTTGACCATTCTGATTATAATTGTATTGTGTTTGATGAGCTAGGTATGGCGGGTAATTATATGTTGAACAGAGTTAGGGAGTTTAAGGATACGCACCCAGAGAGGATAATTATACGAACTGCTGACGGGAAGCAGTTGAAACCTATAGCTGATTTAACTAACACCCAAGACCACGAGACATATTTAAACAACTGTCTTAATCAAATATTTAAATCTAAGATTGATCTTAAGATATCTAAGAGACTTAAGACAGAAGAAGATAAAATTAAATTGAATGATGTATATAATGACACTTGGAAAAGTAAACTGCCCATTAAGGAAATAGTAAAGAAACACTTTGAAACTACAAGCGACATCATGGAAGGAGAGCATAACATAGCGTATACTAATGCTAGGTGCAAATGGGTAAGCAAGACCGTAAGAAGTAATTTAGGAAAGACAGACAAATATGAAATCGGAGAGCATGTGATATGCAGAGTTTATAAAAAAGAAATGGGGCAGGTGTTTAATGTAAATAATACTTATGAAATTATTAGTATTGATGATTGGAAAGTAGAAATCCAAGATATCAAAAGTGAAACCATATTCCTGACAAACACCACGACTTTAGACAAGCACTTTATACATGCATATTGTGCTACATGTCATTCGTCTCAAGGGGCTTCTATAGATAAAAAGCATTACTATACACGAATGGGATAAATCATATTTGGTCAGCCGTGAGTGGATTTACACAGCGATTGCAAGGTGCAGAGATATCAATAAAGTGAAGTTTTTCAAAGCAGACATAGATGATACTGATTTAAATGAAGCACAAGTAACCAGATATTTAGAACATAAGATTAGACAGTATAAATTACAAGACATGAAAGCAGAGAGAGATAGACAACAACAAATACATTGATGTCAAATGGTTATTTGACAGGCTTAATACCAGATGTAATAAATGCAGTTCAGACTTTGAAATAGAAATAAATGATGGAGTAATAGATAGTAATATGACAGCCCAAAGAATAAACAACGATTATGCCCATCATAAGGAACATTGTATATCTTACTGTTTAAACTGTAATCGCCGGGAAAAATATCTATCTTATTTTATATGGCATCTAAGCAAGACATTATTAATAATGTTTATTATGATAGGGGAGGCTTCGGGTCAAAGAGCCGCACTTTACAAGAAGCAAGGAAAAAGGATAACACAATAACTATGAGTTGTTTAGGAAGAATGTAGAACAGAAAGCTAAACCGAGAGGGCAGAATTCATTTGTAGCTCCTAACGCATATTATGAGTTTCAAATTGATTTATTTTTCATTAATGATATCTCTAAACAAAAAATGAAATTTGGTATGATGTGTATTGACATATTTTCTAAGTATATGGCTGTTGTCCCGCTCATGTCAAAACAGCCAGCGGACATTTTAGCAGGACTGCTGGAATGTATTAACAAAATGGATGGAAAGCCCAAGCTAATTTATATTGACGATGAAGGAGCTTATAAAATCAAAGTGTTATGGATTTCTTGAAGGGTGAAAAAATAGAGCTGCACAGAACCAGAGGTCACCCAGCATTCGCGGAGAGGGCGATAAGGACGTTTAAAGATAGCTTGTATAAGAGGGTTGAAAACGATGAGAAAAAAGGAAAGGCTATTCAATGGACAGACTACATACACGAGATTCTGTTAACTTATAACAATGGAATAAAGCACACTTCGCACAGCTTAACACCGTCAGAAGCAAGAAAGCCTAAACATCAATTAGAAGTGAGTTTAAACTTAGGTATGAAAGCCAAAAGAAATAGAGTTTATCCAGATTTAAATGTAGGAAATGAAGTTAAGATATTCAGGAAAAGGAGACCAAATAAAAAGGAGAGAGTAGGGGTATGGACTAAACAAACCTACAAAATAGCAAGGACTGAAAGGACGTTAGGACAATAATCTTATTATCTTGAATATTATGACAGGGCATTTTTGAGACGTGAGTTATTAAATGAATAAGTTTATTTCTTGGAAAAAAGTATTTAAAGAAATACAAACTATATACATTAGAATAGAAATGGTGGAAACCGAAATCAATAATTATATCAATAAGAAATGCTACGACTGTTGCCACTTCAAAAAGGAAAATATGGAATTATTTAAATTGAATTTACTTAATGGAATAGTTAAAAATATTGTTGATTATGCTTTGGGTGAAGAAGATGTATGTAGAACTTGTCAGGAATGGAGAGATACTCAAGCTATAGCCAAATGTCATTTGAAGCATAAAAGGTTACTTAAAACAAATGTTGAAGACGACATTATAATATTTCTAACTGTGTATGAAAGACCACCTTATGACTGTTAGAGCATTTCTTAAAATCAGTAAGAAAAAGTATGGCATGATTACACACATGATATGGATGTTGATTTATCATAGAAAGACAGGCGTTGATTTGAAAGAAGCTATCAAATCATATATTGAAAGTGAAAAGTTCAATGTTAAAAATACGGTGAGATATATTAACATTATTTTTAAAATGATGTATGAAAGAAGTAAGATGTATCAATTAAATTATTGTCCTGAACTTAAATTATAATCATAATGTAACAATAACATATATACCCTTATATGTTATAATTATATTCCAATATTTGATTTTATTTCTTGTAAAAAAGTATTTACAGAAATAAACGCTATATATATTATAGTGGAAATGTTATTTACTTATTCAAAGTGCGAATGTTGCAAAACTAAAAAGAATGATATTAATTTTACATTGTATAACTTATTACCTGCGAATCTGTGTAATACAATAAGTGAGTATAATGTATATTGTAAGCAGTGCTGTATAACTAGAGACCTTGAAAAGTTTTTTGTTGAAGAACATAAGGATCAGGGATATACAAAGTTTCAATTACAATTGAAATTCTTTATGAGATATCAAAAACGATTTCCTGTATGTTTTTACCATCAAACTGCTAGAAAGTCATTTGAAAAAGAAATTGATGAGTTCTTTAATAATAAAGATTTAATTAAGAGGTTTGGAGGGACAAACGCAATTAAACCATATAAAGCATTTGTTAAAAAATCGAGACATGTTTGAAGCGATTGATTGGCATTTTTAAGTAAAGATAAAATAAACGAGGTCTTGAATGAATTTAGAATAACTAAATATCATGTATGGTATTACTACAACACTAAATATAAAGTATGACTATTGTTGTATTTATTCTTTTGGGAATATGTTTATTCAATAATAGGAAAAGACAATATCAAATGTATAGATAAAGATGATATATATATATATAAATATGTAGATTACATATTTGAAGACTTGTTACCTGACCATTATTTTAACCCATAATGATTAAACCCATACTATGATTATAACATTTATACCCTTATATGTTATAATTATAATGTAAGTATAGCGTTTTATATATTGAAGATAAAATCCTACAAGGAGCACCACGCCTATTAAAATATATGATGAAACTGATGAAACGAAGGAGGAGAGTGATGTTGTTGCTGTTTTTTTGTCCGAGAAATGGACACATCGTTTTTAGACAGTTCGGTTTTTTTTGATGACAAATGTTTTTGCAATATATTTTGCAAAATTTGTTTTTATGATTTGGATGAGGTGAGGAGATTGAGGAAATGATATTTTGAAAGGTAGTTGGTGAAATGAATCAGGCGAGGAGAAAGGAGAAAAGGATGGCGAAAAAATGGAAAATGATGAGAAAAAACGGATGAGATGGACAGAAAGGAATGTAGAAAAATGATGAAAACGAATAAGGGTGGAAGATGGAAGATGGACAAAGTTGTAGGGTGGGGGCTAGACTTATGAAGCAATTTATTGCTAGGCGTGGCCCTCGACTACTTAATAAGGGCTTATTTGGGCTCCCTCCCCCCTCCCCTCCCTCCCCCCCAGCCCCCATGAAGGTTTCTTTTTCTTGCCACGGGAAGCCCGAAGGACTCCGACAGCTTTCGGCCAAGGCGCGCTCGGATGACAAAAGCCCGGGCCGGCCATTTCGCTGCAACGAAGGCCCGGACTGGTGCGCGGAGGGAGATCCTCTGAAACTACTCTCCTGTCCACTAACGTGGAGCCTGACAAGGGAGTCCTGGAAGACTACTTTCAAATTTCCTTTGAAGCGTGTTGTCCTTTTTGCGTGATCTGTTTTGTTAGAACTGAGACCTCCAGTGGACTCCGTCCTTCTCAGCTTCTTCCGAGTTTCCGATTAAATTCGCCGGCCCAAGAAGGCGCCTTTTATTTCGCCAGGGCCACCGGAGTCTGGCTCAGTGTGGGTTGGGCCGCAGTTGGGTCTTGATTTCGTACTTGAGGTGAATTGTGATAACAAATTGAACGTTTTTGGGTGATGACCTGCCAAGGTACACACCTAGATGTGGGGCCTAAGGGGAAGCCCTCAGTCAGCCCCCAGTGAAGCCACAACTAACCTCCCCAGTGAACCAACCGCGGCCCCGGCTAATCCGTTACACTTGGTGAAGTACATGGCCCAATTCCATCAGTTTGGTTTGGTCGTCCCCTTTACTTTCCCGCATAAAGAAACATCTGCCATCCACTTTAGCACCCATGAGAGGCCGACCCACATACAATGATGCGACCCTCTTGCACATGTTTGCAACCATTCAGCTTGGAGGTCTGGGTTGCACAATTTGTTCCATAAACACCCGGACCAGAACAACTCAGTGAGTTGGTGTTGAATCAAGCATTGAAAACCACGGTACACTCAAGTATTTCCCCCGATTAGCCCTCATAACACATACAAATTGGTCATGCGTCTATGTAGATAAATAGATCATGCATATACAGATACATATGCATACACCATACCTAATACCCCCAGCCTTGTATCTACCTTTTACTATCTACATTTTTTCGAAGCTATATCTGTATATGCATACATGGTACCCTCTCCCCCATGGACCCCGGTTTGGTGAGCTTGACCTGTGTTTTTTCCAGTGTTTGTGTGCCTTTTTCGCCTCCTTGTTTTTGCAGCAAACTGGGGGGGGGGGGGTACGTATATATACCTATGTACAACCACATGTAATGCAATGATATCGACATCTGCCATCTGACAGAGTGTGCATGCATCTCAGATTATTGGGACAACTCTGTTTTTTGTTTAAGCAAATACAATATACGCAAATCTGGGATTCAAGATTCAAGAGTCTGAGAAGCTTATTTTTGGGAATCTTGCATCTTGAACTTTGAATCCCAGATTTGTTCTTAAAGAAAAAGCAATCAAATCCAGGGTTGTCCCAATATTCTAGGTTGTTCCATACATACTTCTGCAACCAAGTGTGCGCACACCCATCTGCGGTCATTTAATCTGCAACCCTCCAAGTTCCCTCAATAGGTGGATTCAACGTGAGAGTACAATGTTCTCGGAAAAGCTTTCTGTAAACAAACAAAATCAATCCTGCATCTTCAATCTAGTGGCAAAATATGTTTGATGTTTTAGAACAAATTGAAAGTTTTTGTTGGGATTGGCCAGGATTGACGATTCTCAGGAAAGTTGTCTGTGCAATCTTCAATTGTGATCCTCAATCCAGTGGTAAAGCACTTTCAAGTGCTGGAAGAACTTGAGTGTTGTTTGGCTTTGGCCAGAATTGACGATTCTTAAGAAAGAGTTCTATGTAATCTTCAATCTTGAATCTTCAATCCAGTGGTAAAATACTTTCAGGTGCTTAGCGATCCAGTAGAAACACTTTCAAGTTCTTAGACAAACTTTCAAATGCTTTTGGTGAGCGTTTTGCTTCATGCAAGCTATGCTCATGTTGACCCTTTTCCAGGAGGTAAAGCTAGGTGTAATGCTGAAAACACGGTATTTTTACAGCATTCTATGAAGAGGCGCAGGATCATGAGGGGTACTAGATGTTTGTATGTATGTGTATATGTATATATTTACACATATGTTCACACACCGTCACCTCCCCGCTGAACTCCTACCTCTGCTTTTTGAGATGGAATGAATTTCCTGTCCAAATAAGATCTTAAATTCAAGTGATCTAGCTAGAATCCTGTTTCGAAATAGTGTTAGAATTTGAACCTCCAATCCCTTGAAATGTCCATTTTGGAACACCGTCTAACAAATTTAACTTCGGACCTTTCTTATGCTACAAAAGGGCCAGAATGTGAATAGTATTTCGATAGAAGTCCCTACAGTGGTTAGCCGTTTTCTATATGAGTATGGACAATTAGTTTCTACTATTTGTTTGTTATCAACAGCTAATTGCATTATGGTCGTATTTGGCTATATGTACTTTTGTATTATATTTGGCAATCAACTCCTCTATTATGTTGCTAAAGGTTAGCTGGATGTCCCGAAGCTATATTTACATTTTGATGTAACTGCAATTGGAAAGGAGTTTGAACATAAAACACATTGTGGAAAACTATTTCCTTGCTAAGTTCTATTTAAAATTCCAATTCTAGTTGAAGTAAAGTCCTATTTGGAAAGGATCTCATATTGGGGGACTCCGGGCTCCAAATCATGAGGCTTTGGGCCCAAAATTGGACATGTCGAACATATAAATCTCTAGACTCGAGATTGATCATCACTAAAAGGCACCAAAAACCGGGGCCCTTGAAAGGGGTTGCAAGTGTATATATAAATATATATATATATATATGTATATATATATATATACATATGTATATGCATGCATACATATATATGTACATATATATATATATATATGTACTTATATATATATATATATATGTATATATATATATACATATGTATATGCATGCATACATATATATATACATATATATATATGTACTTATATATATATATACATATGTATATATATATATATGTAAATATATATACATGTATGCACCTGCTTTATGGGCACTGGCCAAAGTCGGCTTCTGCGCGCACGCAGGCGGCTCGCATCCCGCGGGGCTACAGAGCCGGCTTTCGTGCTCCGCCAAAGACGTGGTGAACACGCGGTCACGCTTCGGCCTAGGGAACGGCAAGAAGGCCAGGTCTCTGGGGGTTTCTCGGCTTGGGCTGAACGCGTTTTTTGGCTCAAGGATCTCAACTGGCAAGAGTTGCCAGTTGCCATCCGGATGTCGTTGAGGCCAAGTTGGAGAGCCCAAAGGCTGCAAGTGGAACTCTGGAGGCCAAGCACTCGCCATTTCTCCCGAGGCAGCTGGGTTTCCCGAGTCTCACAAGTTCGGACCCATGGGTGAATCCCATGGTTCCATTCTGGGAAGGGTCCCAAACTCCATCTACAACTTTGACCCCGGTTTTGGGGTTGTTGTTTTTGGCTTTTTGGGGTCACTGACCTTGTTTTTCTTGCTGGTGCTCAGTAGGGAATGAGGGAATGACCCCCCTACAAACCATCCCTTGTGGTTTCCTTCGAGGGAATCCCCAAGCTCATGCCCAAATTCCCTACCTATCGCACCAGCAAGTTGTCCATTTTCTTTGCGCCACTTCTCCTTGGTGGCTCCCAGCCATCCAGTTCCTTAACATTTTTAAGTGGGATTTCCAATTTCACCCACCAAGAGTGAGTCACTTTTCGCGGGGGATCTGAGGGCAGCCCGCGTCTCGTTTCCCCCGTTTTCCCCGTGAGGCGCCGAAGGTGAGTTGCTTCGAGGCCATGTTCCAGCAGCGCGACCCCGTGCAGACGGTGGACGTGCTGTTGGTGGGAGGCAGGTTGTTTTTTTCTCTCTCCCAGCGGCTGGAAGCTAATGACCCCGGATGAACAAAACCCCGTTTATTTTGTATGGGGTGTTTGTGGTTTTGGTGGGGACTTATCACTTTTGGAGGGGAACACCCTAACTTAGTAAAGCTATGGGTCTTTTCCCAGATGGGTATGGGTCAAAACGAATGGGATCCCAGTTTGGGTAGGAAATTCACCACCCATTTTAGTGTATAGTGCTTGGATTGGGATGGTCACTGGGGGTACGATTTGGATTTTGACCCATGGCCAGATAGGCTCTGGGGCGGTGCGCGCATTTTTCGGGAGGGTTCAGGGAGTTCCGAGGCGGGGGATACCACCTGGGCTCATGATCGGTTCAGCGTGCGGATGAGGTTCAGACGCACTGGTTTATGTGCCATTGTTTCGGCAAAAGGGCAGATAGGAACCGTGCGGCTTTTCCCCGTGCAAACACCACCCTTGCTTTGAGGCCCTCCAAAACGGTCCAATTTGAGGATCGAAACCAGTCTCCGTGGGGCATGTCTGAGGTAATGTCAATCACCTCATGTTAAACAGGAGGGTCACCCTACTCCAAATACCCGCCCTTTTTAGGGCATGATGTCAATCCTGTACTTAACAAGGAGGCATTCACCATGGGAAACCAGGCTTTTTAAACCTAACAAGAGAGGGTATTTGGAGTAGCGGGTATATGTTTTGCAATCAACAACACCCTAGGGTTCAACCCCCATTAAAAGAAAGGTTGACCCAATTTGGATGATGACAATCCTCAGGAAAACAATGGTTATGTGAACCCCCATGGATTGAACCCCAGGGAAAAGGTTTGATTTGGGAGCATCCTAGGTGGCCAGTCTTCAGTGCGACCTTCGCCCTCGGAACCTAACAGTTCCACCTGTTGCTCAGGGCAACCCAAGTATTCACGCTGGACACCAAAGACCCCCACTGTCACACTGCACCCGATTTGTTGAGACACGCCTTTTTGGGGGAGGGGTTTCATAGAGGGTCTTCTGGTTGATGGTATCTTCAGGGTGGTTTGAAGGGAAGCTAGAGGGACACGAACGCGCTCATTTGGGATTGGACGGATCGCAAATTAGCAGGGGTTATCTTACCACAAACTAACGGATCGCAAAGACAATGCCTCGTAGTTTTTCGAGATTTCCCCTGGCAGCGTATCAGATTTTCACGGGTGGTATGTGTCTCAATCTTGACGACATACTTGAAACCACTTTTGGAACTGCCCAAAAGACGACCGCCAGGGAAAGCCAACCAACCCAAAAACCGCAAGGGAGCCAACCAAAACCCACTTGAAGCGGGGGAAACCAACAAGGTCGGTATGGCAGGGCTCCTTGAAAGATACATTTTGCCCAATTGAAACATGGCCTTTTCCAGAAAAATAAAGGGAAGCCACCATTTACAAGGCAATGTTCAGGTGTATAATGTAAGAATCCCTGTTCTCCCAGGCTCTTTGCCCCCCTTGCCCCCCTTCCCCTCTAAGATCTTTCCCCCCCCATCCCCCCCTAAGATCTTCTCCCCCTTTTCCTCTCTAAGATCTTTTCCCCCGTTTCCCCCCAGGCGGCATCATGAGCGCCACTTTGGCTTTGCTCCTGAAGCAGCTGCAGCCAGCCTGGAAGATCGCTGCTTGGCACTGATTGGCAGCGGTAAGGCTGCTGATGGGCGGAATGCTGCACCAGTGGTATGGCTGTGGGTCAAAAATGGGTAGCCAAATGGAACCCTGGTAAATGGAACAATGGACCAAAACCTGCGGTCCTTTGGTGCTTTAATTTCGACCCATACCCGTATGGATGAAATTGTTTGATTTCTGGGATAAGCCACCTGCCACTGGTGCAGGTGGGGAGCGGTCAATGCTTACTCTTCATCTACGGAAAAGGGGCTGACATGGGGTGCACGCACCAAAGTACCAGGTTTTGAGGCACCTTTGGTGCCCATAGTTGCCCGACTTCAAGTGTTGTCTCCTTGTCTGGATAAGGCGAGACATCAGGCCCCCCCACCCCCAGAAAGGTCCTCGGAACTCTGCAATGAGAACCCCCAGAATTGCATACCCCAATATTACAATACAAGCACGGTTCCAAACAATCATCTTCGAGAGCTGCTGTTCACGATTGTTCACGGATGATTTGATACGTTTATTATACAGAAAAAGCGTGGACAGCGTAGAATGCGTACTAGGCCTACTACAAAATGAGTAACATCACGAGATTAAACAGAAACAACTGTGTGTATGTGTCCTTCAATTGGGATAGTTGAGTTACATTTGCAGATGGTACCCCAATGAAAAGCGTAAAAGGCTGTTGATTGCCAGGGCACACAAATAGCAAACAAAGTCGATCCCCAGAGGGAGATTGATCGAATAAATTTGGTGACAATTCCGGTGTCCCGGAAACTGGCTCTTTGCTTGCGACGTAGTCTGCACTTCGAAGTTCCACAGTTTAGAAGCCCAACAGAGGCAACAGAGGCAACAGTCGCCAAGTTGGACACGGTCCAACATAAATGTTGAGGAAGATTGAAGCTTCTGAGTATGGAGACCACCTACATTGGCAGAGCTAGCACGCACCAAGAAGTTTATCACGGTGCGAATAACGCGCTGGGAGTGGACACAAATGTGCCGAACTACCAGAAGGTTCGCCCACGAAGTGAAGTACTGCAGCAAAGGCTTAAACTCGGCCGCATAGCATCACCACCCTCAACCTCAGGCAACATTCGCTATGAACTTACCAAGAACAGTGGACCGCAGAGAGCATATCCAACGGATGGCTATGAAGGCCTTTTTTCGATTGAAGCGTTTGGCCACATGTTGTCATAGCACCAGCGGATCTCA